AACAGTTTTTAATGGAGTTGTTTAATCTTTTCTTGTTGATTTGCTTGAATTCTTTGTAGATTCTGGTTGTTAGCCTTTGTTAAATCCATAGCTTGGAAATATCTTCTTCCATTCTGAAAGTTGTCTTTTTGCTTTGATGATTATTTCCTTAGTTGTGCAGAAACTTTTTAACTTAATCAGGTCTTATTTATTTATTTTAGTTGTTGTGATTGCCAGTGGAGTCTTCTTCATAAATTCTTTCTCTAAGCCAATAAGATTAAGAGTTTTCCCACACTTTCTTCTAGGGTTTTTATAGTTTCATATTTCAGATTTAAATCTTATCCATCGTGAGTTAATTGTTATAAGTGGTGAGAGGTGTGGATCTAGTTTCAGTCTTTTATATGAGGCCAACCAGTTCTCCTAGCACCATTTGTGGAATAAGTATTCCTACTCATCAGAGAAATGCAAATCAAAACTACTTTGAGATATCACCTAACCCCAGTGAGAATGGCCCACCTTACAAGGTCCCAAAATAACAGATGCTGGCATGAGTGCAGAGAGAAGGGAACACTCATGCATTCTTAGTGGGACTACAAACTAGTACAGTCTTTATGGAAAAAAAGTATGGAGATTTCTCAAAGAACTAAAAGTAGACTTACCATTTGATTCTGCAGTCCCCTTACTACGTGTCTACCCAAAAGAAAAAAAGATGTTTTACCTGAAGGACATTTGCACATGTAATGTTTACAGCAGCAGATTTCACCATTGCAAGGGCGTGGAAACTACTCAGGTGCCCTTCAACACGTGAATGGATTAATACATTGTGCTATATGTGCACCGTGGAATACTATTCAGGCATAAATATAGATGGAGACTTTCTATCTTTTGTAACAATCTGGACAGATTTGGAAAACACTTTCCTAAGCAAAGCATCATAAGATTAGAAAAATAAGCATTGCATGTACTCAGTTCTAATCTGAAACTAGTAGATTAACAACTGCATGCTCACGTGAGAGAAAAACTCAATTAAATTAAAGTGGGGGGAGGGAGAAAAGGGGTTGGGTAAGTTCACACCCAGGGGGTACGTCGCACAGGTATAGGGTGCACTTCCTGGGTAAAGGGCACAACTAGAACTCGGATTTTAACCTTACAAAAGCAGACTGTGCAATCTAATCATACGTACTCTCATATTAATCTGAAATTTTTTTTTACTGCAATGACTGTATTTTGGTGGCTTTCCAAGCCCCCCCACCATAGGTCTCCTTAGACAGGGCTGGCACCCAGTCAGCCAGTGGAGTCCTAATTACTTGATTCTCTTCTGTAGATCACGAAGATTCCTTCTAATGATCTCTCCTTCCATTTCCTCAGATCAGCTTACACATTCTGAAAGTATATCCATCACTCTCTAATACTTTGAGGTGGCACATTCTGGTCTCCTACTTTGTGTTTGAAGTAGATCGCTTCTTCCTCTTTGCTATCATTAATCTTTTCATTATCTTCTTATTTCTCTTAGCACAGTCAGGGTATAACATATTATCTGCTAGGCCTGGAGACGAGGAAATGCAGGCTGGTAACAGGAAGAGGGAGATCATCCTCCTGGGAGTGGCAGTCACCCCGGCCTGACCTGCATGAAACTGTAGGCGGACCCAACCCTCTGTGTCTGCAGGGAGAGGTTCACCATGGATCACACACCACCTAAGGCCAGAAGCTGTTGTCAAAAAGGCCCAGAAGAAGCAGGAATGGACTGTGAATTCATAGTCTTAGGCTGAGCAGCTTTGGCAGTAATCCTTGCCCACAATGCCAAGGAAGATTCCCGAGCTGCCGTTATCACTTCCACTCTGTCAGTCTCTTCTGTTTTCACACTCATCTTGGACCTTTCCTGAGTCTTGCTCTCTTGGTCTCTGCCTTGAGTTTCCTTGAACACGAATGTAATCTGGCCTCCTTTGGTGTTTCAGGAAATTCACATTTCTGTTCAGGAAAGGCATGCCCCTGAAGCCTCAGAAAAACTTCTGTTTTCTTGCAGTCAGTACTCAACTTGAGTAGCTGGCACCAGTTCCTCAAAGTGTCCCAACACACGTCATTAATGGAAGGCAAAACGGTTGGCAAGGGAAGATTAGGCTTTTTACATCTAGCTTTTCGGATGGCTTTTGATTGCTTATTTGTTGGAGGTAGATGAATTTTCCTGAACTTCTTAGAGTTGTAGGCCTGGCTCACTGAGGCAGTCCCTGTCCTCACATCTTCATTGTGTTTCTGGGGGTTGTTCAGTTTGACATCAGAAGTTGAAAAAACAGTTGGTTCCATTTGTTCATTATTTGAATCATCTTTAACTGGAACCAATGTCAAAATCACACTTTCTTCATCATCTATGTCCTCCTAGGGCTCCCTCAGAAAGCCCTAAAGTGGGGATCTGTCAATGATGCCGCGCGGTGCAGACACACTGCACAGGTAGAAAGAGAAGCATGGCAACACTGGGGATGTGGGGCAAAGAAAAGGAGGATTCTAGACCGAGGTAGTTTTGAACTGTGTTTCTATGAAATAGCACAGAACACCAAAGCAGAATTCTCCCAGGCAGGCTTTCTACTTGTCACCCGTCTCCGTTTCTGTCTCCTTCAGACTTGCCCAGTAGAGCCGTGTATCTGCTAAAAAAGAAGAAGGTAGGTGTCCATGTCTGTCTCGTTCAGAAAGCAGCAGTGAAGCAAGAGTTACATAGCAACTCCATTGTCATCTTCAGGAATTGTTTGGCTCTGATAGTCCTAGCACTCTAACTTGGTTGATGCATCATAAACTCTGGAAACCATAACCTGCTCACGACCCCCATGTAATCACCATCTCCAACCCAGGAAATGATGTCCTCATAGCTTTTCAAACATGGAAAGCCTCTTCCCAACCTTTGCATGTGCTGTTCCCTGGAACATCTTTCCCACCAATTTCACATGTCTAGTTTTTTGTCCGTTTTCAGCCTTAGCTTAAATGTCACACCCTCAAGAGGCTCTACTTGACCTCCTTTTCTAAAGATCTGCTCTTATTCTCTGTCGGAGCCCTTAGTTTCTTTTCTACTTAGTGCTTGTTACAACTTACAATGACTTATTTACATGCTGCTCCTTTTTCTGCTTCTTTTCAAAACATAAGCTAAGCTGCATGATAACATAAACCATGTCTGTTTTCTTGATTACTGTATCCGTAGCATTAAGAACAGGAAATACTAGCTGGGCATTATGATGGGCTCCTGTCATCTCAGCTACTCAGGAGGCTGAGGCAAGAGGATCACTTAGTCCAAGCATTTAAGATTGTTGTGAGCTATGATGCCACAGCCCTGTACCCAGAGCAACAGAGTGAGAATCTGTCTGAAAAAAAAAAAGGAACAGGAAATACTCATAGGAGGTACTCAATAAGCAGTTGAATGTGTACGTGTAAGTTTAAGAAGCTCTATATAACCTAAAAATAAGATCATTTTCCCCTAAATGATTCAATTAAATATAAAATGCGGCAACAATGCTTTTTGAATTTTCAACATGTTTCCATAAAAAGTATTCACATGCGCAATTCCCACAGTGGTCTTTAAGAATTAGAACGTAAGTATCCTCATGAATTTCTTAATTTCCATAAAAGCTCTATGGTGCCACACTGTATTGCAGTGTTTTTTGGCCGTTTTAAAAATGAAATCAAATGGAGAACAGAATGGAAAATGTTAGCATTCCTTCCGTGTGATAAGTATAGCTTCAAGAAACTTTTCTCTCTTTTCTATTGACACATAATGATCATTCATATTTATGGATACAATGTGATGTTTCAATGCATATAAGCATTGTGAAAAAATTAAATTGCGGCATTTATTAGTAGCATATTCATCATCTTGTACATTTGTTGGTTCTTATGGGGAAAATATTCAAACTCCTCTGTTCTAGTTATTTTTAAATATACAACATTGTTAACCATAGTCACCCGACTGTGCAATAGAACACCAGCACTTATTCCTCTTCTCTGACTGTAACTTTGTATCCATTGACCAATCTCCAACTATCCTTCTTCCCCACTCCTCCCCCAGCCTCTGGGAAACACTGTTCTGCTCTTTCCTTCTATGAGAGTTAACCCCTGTACATTCTAGGTATGTGGTAGCCAGATATGTGAGATCATATGGTATTTCTGGGCCTGGATTATTTCACTTAATGTAATGTCACACAGATTTGTCTGTGTTGCTGCAAATGACAGGATTTAATTCTTTCTGTGGGTGAATATTATTTCATTATATCAAATTTTCTTTATCCAGTCATCTGTCAATGGGCATTAGGTCAATTCCAATTCTGGCTATTGTGGAATATATTGCAATAAAAATGGGAGTGCAAATCTCTCTTTGACATACATATTTTCTTTAGATTACTGGACCATATAGTAGTTCTATTTTTAATATTTTGAGGACCCTTCATACTGTTTTCATAATGGCTGTGCTAATTTACATTCCCACTAACAGTATATAAGAGTTTCCCTTTCTCCATATCTGTAACAGCAAAAATAAATACATAAAAAGAAGATAGAAGCTTTTCTCTGTGTGTGTGTGTGTGTGTATGTGTGTGGAAAACTTTTTGGTGTGTAAAAATTGGTTTTTACAGTAATTCAAAGTCAGTGTATATTCTAGTGTTTTCCACATTATCCTAATACCTTTTCTGGCTGCTGTCATAGCCCCTCAAAGCCAGCCTTGAGTGCTGTGCCACAGCGTGTGATTTTTTATGGCCTATTTGTAATGGATGACTTCCCACAAGTGCAACACAAAAATTCAATTTCTTAGTCTTTTCCTATAGATCAACCTACCTGAACCTTTCTTGGGATGCTTGGTCTCACTGTCAGGTGCATTCCCAGAGTTCTTTTCACTGCAGAGTGCTGGGGGATTTTAAGTTAACGAGGAAAGACGTACGCACACTTTAAATCAAGAAGAATTTGAAGCAATGATTTGCCAAACAGTAGAGACATTTGCTAAATAAAAGGCATTGACTTGTGTTTCCTTTGTGTCTTTTGCTCCCTCCAAGCTGCCTGCCTGGTGCTTGGCTGTATGATCTTCCCTGATGGCTGGGATTCCGACGAAGTAAAGCGGATGTGTGGAGAAAAGACGGACAAGTACACTCTCGGGGCCTGTTCAGTCCGCTGGGCATACATCTTGGCTATTATTGGAATTTTGGATGCCCTGATCCTCTCATTTCTAGCGTTTGTGCTTGGTAACCGGCAAGACAGCTTGATGGCAGAGGAGCTGAAGGCAGAAAACAAAGGTAAGATTGCTTTAGGGACCCCTCACCTGGATGCCTCAAGCACAAAAGTGGTACTGTCCGTTCTTTCTCATCAAGTGCTAGTGCTTTCCTGTAGTCCTCGTTTGCTCCTGCTTTTAGTACTGTCTGGTTCACAGACTTTCTCCCAGACGCAACTCAAGAAGTTTACACAGTTACAGGATGACACTTACTTATCTTTCTGAGGCACTTGTCTGCTGTCTTTGCGGCTTTGTCTGTCTAAGGTTGCCTGAGTCCATTATTACCTTTTTGATGCATCTTGTCCAGTTTCTTCTTCCCTACCCTGATTTCAGATTTGCCATTAGGAACTCACAGTTTAAGATGTAACTTCAGGGGGAAGGGAGGATCTATTTGGTTGAGTGGGAAATGCTTCCTCTCCGTGTATTCAGCTATTTTTCAAGTTGAAATAAATACCTGAAGAATCTCTAAAAGTATCTGTAAACTTTGTAGTTGAACTACTCACAATACTTTTATTTGAATTCAGACTATCCTCTCAGAGGGATATAGTAACACTGGCTCCAAACAGCTACAGTTAGAGATGTCAGTAGTTATCTAATTAGCTGGATTTTATTTATTTATTTATTTATTTATTTATTTTTATTGTTTGGAATTCATTGAGGGTGCAAAGAATTAGGTTACACTGATCGCGGTTGTTAGGTAAAGTCCCTCTTGTAATTGTGTCCCGCCCCTAGGAGGTGTCCTGTACACTGTAACCCCCCATGGCCCCCTCCTCCCCTCTCCCCAATCCCTCATTCCCCTAATAACCCTCCCTGTTATTAGATCATCTATTGCCTTCATATTAGAGTTGAGTACACTGGATTCTTGCTTCTCCATTCTTGTGATGCTTTACTAAGTAATTCGCTGAATTTTTAAATGTGTTGTCTGGGTAATCAAAAGTCCTCAGATTTCTTTTCAAAAGCAAATTGCCTTTTAAAACACAAAGAAACTAGGCCAGACAATAGCATGTTGACTGGTGAATGAAGTGTAAATATATTACAATGGGAAAATAAAGAAGAGGTAGCAAGTCATTACTGAAGATGAATCTTTTTTTTTTTCCAGATTTCTAAACCAATTTTGGAAAGTAGAATTTTAATGTCTTTGTTTTCTTATAGCCTTGAGATTCATTTAATTGTTTTGTCTTTATGTTATCTTTAATTCTTTAGGCTTATATCAGCTCCTTCTTCTAACTTTTATTCTTAATTGGGAACTAAACCATCCTTGAATTATGACATCTAGCTTATTATTTCAAGTAGTTGTGAATTTCAAAAATTGTTCACTACTTCAACAGGTAATATTAAGCATATATTAATGTCTACATGAATGTCACAGGTAATAATGGTGTTAGCAAGCTTTATATTTAGATATGTAGGTAAACTGTGAACTCTAAAGATATAAAAATGGAGCAGACCAGCAGTCATCCAGAAACACTTTATATCCTTGACTTATAGACAGAACACAGATTAGTTGACTTAGTTCTATTAAAAGTATTCTAATCACAAAAATAACTTTTCACCAGGGAGTGATGCTGAAACTTCCTAAAAACAAAACGTCTAAAAACAGAGTTGCCCTTTCTAGATAAAAAAAATAATTACACTTTTATTTATGCTACTAATTTAGTGCTTTCACACACTTTCATTAATTAGGTGTCCTTGTCTGTTGTCTTTGGGGCTAGTTAGATGTACACAAATCTCTGTCCAGTTGACTTCACTTAAGATGTAATGGTAAGAATAACCAAATATTAGAACAAGTTATCTTTCCCAAAAGTATGAATTAAAGAAAGGGCTACTTTGTTCTGCAACTGCTTGGTTTCCTCCAACACCTAAAATGGAGCAGAATGTTATTTATTCCCTATACAGCTCATTGTGTTTTAAGAATCCTTAACCTTCTGATATCCTTTGGCCACAAAAGAGAAGAAAATTGAGAAAGAGGCAAAAAATAACAAAAACAGGATATAACTTGGTAATTGAGAATTCTAACTCATACTCAGGTGCTGGGTGGTAATTTCTCATGGGGAGAGCTGGACGGCTTGGCTACGGGTGCAAGCTCACTCCGGGAATTGTATGAAAGCAAGAAATGACTACAAGCTTTCGGGTGGCCTGTAGCAAATCATTTTTATTCGCAACTATCTTTTATAGTGAGCTAGTCACTTACGCCACATTGATCAATAATCTTAACATTCTCTGTTCTTATCTTAGACTATAGAAAAGACAGAAAGTCTTTCCTAGACTAGAAAGATTAGCCTTAAACTATTTCTCTAAAGACCTAAAGCAATCCTGCATTATCTGACTTCCATTGTCAAAGTTAAAGGTCAGGACAAACAGGGAAGTAAAACTTTTTTCTTCCAGGTACTCAATTAAGTTTCCAAGAAACAGGCTCAATAACTCTGTTTTCTGGTGGTTTTGGAAGCCACTCGCTTTTACAATGAAAAAATGATGATGCTTTTACTCCATCAACCTTTGAGCCATGTCTCCTGCACAGATGGGCCATCAACCCTTACCTGGCAGGCCGGAACTCTGACTGCATGGTCAGAGTTCCATGCAGGAGGTTGTTACCACCTTGCCCGCAGGCCCTGCCATGCTCTCCCAGGCAGCTAAGCTTCTACAAAACGCAGAGTACTTAAGAGTGTTTTCACTTGGTTTCAGGAATTAAAAGAGCACATTTCATTTAGCTAGTTTTATGTGGGCATTCCTCCCACACTCACGTGTCAAAGTGACAACAATTCTAAGTTCATGCTTCAGAAAAGAATAGCCAGGTTTATAGAATAATGCTCAACAGTTTATGAAATGGGTCTTTTCTTCTGGTTGATTCAGTTAAATGTGGATGTCTGATCCCTTCTGTCTAGGACTTCATTAAAGAAAGCATCATATCTACTCAGTGATATGTCAGGAACACTTCAGTAAAAGTTTTGATGGGAAGGAAGGCTTAAAGAGGCCAGAGTAAAGTTGAGGAATCATCTCTGTGTGATACTGCTGTGTTTGTCATCTTCTCCATTGGCTTGTATGACCATGGTTTCTTCCATCTTGTTCTAAAGGACTAAATTAGCACCCAGTTCATCTGTATCAAACCAGACAGGTCCAGTAAAGCAGCAGAGAGCTACATTGATGAAACATTTCAATTTCTCCATTGAAATTCTTTCATATGAGACTCTGAGAACACATAAACAGCTCTACTGTGCAGGCATATCAGCCCCTCATACAATAGAGTCTATATAAAATCAGACCAAGATTTCTAAGCCTTATATAAAACTTAATCAGACCAACATGCTTCTGAGAAGTAGTACAAGGTTTATATTGTCCTACAGAGTAGCCTTTATTGTTTGGTATTACAGGTACGTATAAACACTTGCTCAACACTGACACTTCCAAAGTCGGATTTCTGGAGGAAAGACTAATCAGTGATCGTTTATGTTGTGTGTGTGAACATGGTTTCACTGAACAGTAGTTTAATAGCTTGCAGGTATGCGGCAATAACCAAAACTAAATGTCATCGATATTACTTCTGTAGGTCCTGAGGGAAGAGAGATTGGGTTTAACAAAAATATAAGAAAAATTTGTGATTTTGAAATTTATTGTGTATGAATGAGTGCTTTGTATTTGCATGGGTGCATTGATACAACTTTTTGCTTATTAAGACATTCTTTTCCACATTAAATTTTTTTTCTGATAAAACCACTGAGATGTTCTATAGTAGCCAAAGTGGTGATGCTGTGGGACAGGCAAAGGTAGTGCTAGCTCAGAATTTTGGAAGAATTTTTAACCCGATAGTGCCTTCCAGTGTCATGGAAGAAGGCAATGGCATATCTCAAGCCTTGCTTCAAAAGAGTAAAGTATTCATAATTCTGATATATTACAGATTACATTATTATCCCTGTATATCACTGTATACACTGCAATGTCTTATACAATCTTCTTCTGGTTTTATGTTCTACCAATTATCGTATCAACCTACACCCTATAATAAGTAGCAGGGGCATTATACAGAGACTAAGGGTGCAATGTGGCAAATGTTCCCAGTTCAAAGTCTTTCCTGAGTGGTCACTTTCCTGTCATGATCATGTCTTCTTTTTCCTGCTATTGTAATTAATCCAGCCACACACTTCCCTATTTATCCGGAAAAGCTACCATGTAGACTCAGGTTTTCTGTGTTTCATTGCAGCAAGGATATTGCTTAGATCCATGAGTACCTCCAAAAACCACCCTAATGGATAAAACAAAAATCACTGCTACATTAATTCTAAAATATATCAAAGAAAGGGGAAAAACTCAGTTCTAATTGTTGAACTGTGCTCCACTCAGAGTCTTCAGATGAAAGGGAATGTAAGATGGTACTGAGCCATAAATTAATCATCACAAAGGTTGCTATTCAAAGAGAAAACAAGGGGGCAGTGCACAGATAAAAGTCTCCACCTCTCCCAACTGCTCCCTCCTAGGACACATTTCCAGTGAACTCACCGGAATCTTCCTCTCCTGTCCCCCTCCAAAGCCTCCCAGAACTTTCTTAAGTCTTTCCTTTCTGGGAATGCAAAGATCATTTGAAAGCGGTCTCAACTGAAATTTATCATAAATTGTGAAATGGGAAAATTAAAATAAAAGAATTTTTTAACATACTTTCAATAGACGAAAGACAGTGACTTTGAAGACACAAGTGTTGTCTTAGAGGGAACCTCTGTAAGAAAGTTAATCACCTGTGGTGCTCCATCAAAGTGCCAGAATATTTTTTCATGCCAAAAAAATCAAGCCCCACTGAAAAACAAAGAGAAGTGAAACCTTGTTAAAGATCCAACTAACTTTAGACAGGAGTTGGCTCAAGCAAAGAAAACTCCACTTCCTGCTCTGAATTTGGGCACACAGCAGGCTGCGTGCCATTCCTGGCCATGGGGGTGAGAATGATGGGGAGGTATTGTTTGGGAGTTCAGCAGCATGACTTCTAAATGAGCCAACAACACTAGCCATTTAACCTTAATATGCTCCTTAATTGCATATTTT